CTCCCGGCTCGCCTTCAGCTTGATATCTTCATATGCCATGAAGGCCGAAATATTACTGGCGTACGAAAATATCACATCGGTGTGATATCTTCGTATGTCATGCATTCCTCGGCATTCCTGGCCTACGAAGATATCCAACCAAAAGCAAGCCGTGCGCCTAAACTGCTGCAGCGGACGATCCTGCCCAACCCCCACCGCCGCCATGACGTTGGCAGCTATGACCAACGCACCGAACACCAACACGGCCACACAACGTGGCAGCGATATCTCCCGCACGCCTCTGCACGTATTGTACGGCATACCTGCGCTATCCTGCGTACTTGTGCGGCGAACGTCAACGTCTAAGCAGTCGTATGCAGCGTACACCACATGGTCACTATCGTCTGCGAAGTACTCGTCATAGTTCGGTAACTGCTGCATGACAGCGACGACTTCTTCGGCACCGCCAGCTTCTCACACAATACTCATCGTGTGGTGTACACTGCTTACAAGATTGCCGCAGTCAACACCATCCACTGCCTGGTGTACTCACGCGTCATGACGACAACGATGCTCCCCTTCGGTACGGATACCGGATAAGGTTCGCATAACGCGGTGCATAACAAGGTGTCGCATATGTTCGCATAACGCATAACGCATAACGCAAAACACGCAGGAATGACTCGTTCTTGCGTGTTCATCCACTTGCACTGCCGTCCGCTGCACGTCGTCCAACTTTGCTATGGCTTGCACCTGTCCCCTCCCTTCACTTCCATCTAGCCGAACCTTATCCGATCCCATCTCCTGACTTTCTACACCTTCGACCAACTCCTGCAGTAGTATCGACCCACCGGACGCCAAGCGTCAGAGGCTGGACACGGCTGCGTCCCAGAGCAGCATGTCGACGGTCGGCCCTCCCGCCGTCGCCACGTAAGCGAACTGCTACATGCAAAGAGCGTGTTCACACCAGTAAGGTACTTACGCTCCGCCTCTCATCGTGCGAAATAGACGCATCTATCAGCTCCGGCGCGCATATTTGGCCGCTGCCTGTTAATCGTCAATCTGCATAATTACTATCCCCTGGCCGGCGGTATTCACGCCAGCGATGAAGCTGCCGTAGCGGCTCTGGGCGCCGGCAAAGAGGCGGTCCTCATTCGTTTCTGTGGGGCCGGCCGTAAACGTCACATGAAACGTGACGCTCCTTGAATCCCTACATGTTGCAAAGGGGCGTCACCGCAATCGCGCGAGTTGGCGACGTTCTGCGTCCGACGTTGAGCTTCGGTTTCGCTAGACGCGGCCACAATCACGCGAATTGGCACCAATCCGCGTTATCGCCTGACCACGCCTGTCTTCGCTGTATAACTCTACTCCTGTTTCGGAGTCGTTCAAGGCCACCGCAATCGCGCGGACCAGGCTCGCAGCCGCGGCGCGTGCGCGTCCAATGTCCGCGTCTGCCGATCCTCGGACATCTGTCATCTATACGCTGGTACGCTACCGATGCACGCAAAACTCCCTCCCCCCCGCCCCCCGAAGCCACACACACTCACGCGGGCACGCACACCTGCGGCTGTCTACTATGCGGTCCTTCTGCATCGGGAACGGGATATATGCAACACATAAACGGCCGGAGACGGCAAAGGCAGCGGTACGGGAATAGGTATACATGGCACCATAGCAGCATACGTGGAGCATCACAACTGCCAGCCGGCCCATCCGTGGAACAGCTGCCCACTAACCCAACGTCAACCATACCTCCCAAGAATGTGGCCTTCCAACCAACGCACCCCCTATATCTGACGCACGTACTTCATCGCATCCCTTGCACTTGTGAGTTCGACTCCCACACGGGTGTAGTACACGCACGGACCGTCGTACTCCTGCCGCCCAGCCGGGGGACTACGGCCCCCTCGCGGGCGACGCAGCCCGCGTCTAGTCCGTCCGTCCGGGTGGCCGCTTGCTGTTTTCGCGTTTTTCGGGGTGTCGTCCACGGTTTCGGAGCCGCGCCTTTTAGGCTAGCTCCGTCGCCGCATGGGAGCCGCGGTCGCCGGTTCGCGCCCCGCCGTCGCCGCTTTTTTCGTCTTCCTGCGTTCGGCGCCCCGCGCCGCACCGGATGACGTCTATGGATGGCACCGCACCGCACAACACCTGGGCCCGCGCAAGGCGCCCCGGAGCATGGCCGTGCGCCCCTTCGTCGGGCGCGCTAGCTCCGACACCGAGTGGGAGACCGCGGTCGCCGGTTCGATCCCAGCGCCGGCGCGTCGTTTTGTCTTTTTTTTACGTTTCGGCTCGCTGGCTTCGTCACCCGGCGCCCGCTTTCTTCTATTTTTCGTTCGGGAGCGCTGCCTTCGTCGTCGCGTGGTTCGTTTTTCGCGTCGTCGTCGTTTATTGTTCATTTCTTTTCGTTCTGGACCGTGCACCGCACACCGCGTCGTCCCGGACTGCACTGCTCCACGCCTGGGCCCGCGCAATGCGCCCCCGAGCATCGCCGTGCACCGCTTCGGTGTCCGCGCCGCACCGCACTGCACCGCGTTGCACCGCACCGCGCCACACTGCGTGTGGCAGTGCATCGCACCACACCACACCTGGACCCGCGCAATGCGCCCCGGAGCATCGGCGCTTACCGCTTGTGGTGTGCGCTAGCTCCGACACTGAGTGGGAACCGCGGTCGCCGGCTCGATCCCGATGCATGAGTTTTTTTTTGTTTTTTCGTTCGGGACCGCTTACCGCACCGCACAGCACTGCACCTCACCGCACCGCACCACGATTTAACGTGCAAATCGCAAAACATTGGCTGCACCGCACTGTGCAATTTGACATGCGCCGACTCGCGCATTTTAACGCGCAACCCACCACACAACTCGACATGCAATTAAACATGCAATTCAACGCGCAATTTAACGTACACCGAACCACGCAATTTCACGCGCACTGAACTGTGCAGTGCTTGTCCAACGTTGTCCGTGTAGGCTGTACGGCATTTTGTGAAGCTGTTTTGTTCATGGACGTTGGCTCGCTACAATATAATTGCACCGCATATATACGCATCCGGTTTACTTATTTTCAGATATGTTTGCTTTAAAGCTGGCGGTTGTAGACTAGTTGCGCTGCCGACATAAGCTGCGCGGTATTTCGCGAAGCTGGCCTCTTTACATGCATCGGCTCGCTAACCGATTTTCGCCAGACGATAATATCTCGGCATATCAACGGTTGTTCATCGCCATCGATGGCTATTCATCGCCATCCTCGTCTGCACGTCCTACACGATACAAGGTCAGTCCACATTGCAAAGCAGTAGCAATGAATAGAAACGACGAATAGCAGTGAGTAGAAACGATAGCAAGGATTAGCAAGGAATAGAATCACAACATGCACCGAAGTGTGATGCGCAACACAACCTGACCCGCGGGACGGTTTGCGCGGTCGGTCGTGTTCGCTGGGTCGTGTACCGCGTTTTTTTTATTTCCATTGAGACCGCGCACCCCACTAGCCATGTCTCGGCTCGTCGTGCTTCATCGTGCTGTATCATAATGCTATCTCTGTCACCGTGTGGGAGCCGCAGTCGCCGGCTTGATCCCACGACAACATCTCGGCACATCAACGGTTGTTCATCACCATCGATGGCTATTCATCGCCATCCTCGTCTGCACGTCCTACACGATATTAGGTCAG